CAGAAAAACGTAGGCGGCACTGAAAACCCCGCGAATCAGCACGTGATACAAAGAAATTACTAACAACCAATCAAAACAGAGTATGCCAACAATAAAGTTCAAAGTGCATGGCAATGACTAAAACTCTTACAAAATACATTGAAATCACAGTCAAGACGGTCTGGTCACACACTCCCCCACCTTACAAAAATGACGTCTCGTCATTAAGTCACAGTCTTTAAGTCACACGTCATAAATATGTCATGTCAAAGAACAACTACACGACGCTCCTACTCAAAACACTACATTAACCTTATATACTATATACTAGATATATGAATCATACTCGCCCAAATTTTGCATAACCACTATCCATTAAGTTGTAACACACCTTACTCAGTTGACTAAATATCAATTCAAAATAAACAAAAAAATAACTTACCACTTTCCATCCCACAGTTCTTAATTGCGGCCTCGCAATTAGCCTTATAGAAGTAAAATACAAAAGAATAATTAATTATACATTGTTATATAAAAAAATAAAGTAAAATCATATATCAAATGACAAATATATTAATTGACAGTATTAATGACATATACATATATTGACATTTTTAAATGACAATATCACTTAACGAAAGCTCTGACAATCCTATATGCAGTCACACTATCTACGTCGTCAAGGATTCCAGAATTCATTAATTTATCTAAAACCTGAAATTTATTGTCTCCTGAACACTGCGCCATTTGATTCATCTGGTATTCTCCATATCTGTCCGGTGGTCTTCTAGCTCTCCCAGTTCTTCGAGGCATTGGTACAGGTTTAACTTCATTATTAATCTCATTATTTTGTTTCTCAGTTGCATCTTCTATGTTTGCACCATCTGTTGTATGTATTTCCATTTTAGAGGTATCACCAAGACCATCTGCATCTTCTTCATGACTGTGTATATCACCATCATCACCAGAACCATCTCCTGCCATATTTTCTTCTACCGTGTCCTCAACTTCAACAAAATCATCTTCTGCCACATTGTCTTCTACTGTATTCTCAACATCTTCATTTACATTTTTCTTACTTGTGTCAGGATTACAGGCGTCCCCGTACCAGTCTGTAATAGAAACAGAGCTCTGTCCATCTTCACTTTCAGAATCATCACCTGTGACGTCACGGTTATCTTTCTTCACAACTTCATCGATTGCATTAGCATCAGACGATACATTATCCTTAATACTTCCATCATCTAACTCTTCATTAGTGTCTACATCATCTTCCTTATTATCCACCAGAAACAAGTGATTTCTGTGCAGAATTTTCTCTGTATGAGTTTTTTCGGACCTTACACGGAAAACAGGGATGTCTGGTCTTGTTTGTTCTTCCACATGGTACAACTCTTCTTCAAACTTATCATCTATCTTATGCTTTCCATCAAATGCGAGCTTCTTTACTAATACCAAGTCACCAACCGTTATCTTTGCAGCTTTCGCCTTCTTGTCATAATACTTCTTCTGTTTTATTTTTGACCTGTCCAAATGCTCTTTAACTATCTTTTGTGTTCTTCTTATCCTATCCTTCATTTCAATAATGTAATCCTTTGCCTCCTTGCTGTTTATTTCCTTTTCAGTAGCCTTTTCAAATGTTAAATCAACTGGAAGTTTTGGTCTTCTAAGAAACATGAGTTCGTAAGGTGAAATTCCTAGACTTTCATGTGGAATACAATTGTAAGCATAAACTAGAGGATTTATGTATTTCTTCCAATCTCTCTTTTGATGTGGCTCCAACGTACCAAGCATGTCCAAAAGCGTCCTGTTAAATCGCTCTGGGCCCGAATTACCTTGCGGGTGATATGGTGTTGTATGGCTCTTCTTGATGTTCATGATGTTACAAAGTTCTCGAATAAGTTCACTCTCAAAATTTGCCCCTTGGTCCGAATGAAGGCGAGTTGGAATTCCATATGGTATAATAAAATTATTGTAGAAGGCTTCAGCAGTAGTTCTGGCTGTCTGATTAATAGTTGGGATGGCTACAGCAAACTTTGTATAATGGTCAGTGACAACTAATATATTTCCTATTCCACCTTTTGAAGGCTCCAAAGTTAAATAATCGAAGCACACTAGCTCTAATGGATAAGTTGTGTTGACGTTAACAAGAGGTGCTCTACTATGAACAGATGACTTCCTACGCAAACATCGATCACATTTCGTCACATACTGGTCTATATCAGTCGACATTCCTGGCCAATAAAAACGTTCTCTAACAAGACGAAGAGTTCATTCTCGCCCTGGATGACCAACCTCACTATGGAGACCACGTAGTACTTCCTCTTTAAAACATTGTGGTAACACCAACTGTTCCACCTCTCTGTCCTCATCCTTGACATTCCTAAATAAAATTCCTCTTCTCATCTTAAGCTTCTGAAATTGCTTCTTCATGGTCAAGTCGTCCTTTGTCATATAAGTATTTGGTACTGTCCTATCAATTACCGCTTTTCTCCATCTCTCTATCAATGGGTCCTGTCTTTGACTTCTTCGAATCTCAAAAATTTCCTTCTGTGCCAATACTTGACTCTCATCATCAACATCAATTGTTTCCAATATGTTTAACGTAGCTACAGGCAACATCTCAATAAATGGTGATATTACAATACAACTGCATATAGCCTTAACAGTTTTGTCATCTATTCGAATACATTCTTCAGCTCCCTCCAATAACTTCTCGTGTGGATATCGACTCATGCCATCTGCGTCTGCATTTCTTAATCCTGCTCGATACTTGACATCAAATGAAAATTGTCCTAGTTGGGAAGCCCATCTTTGACCTGTGGCATCTAATTTTGCGCTGGTTAATATATGTGTCAAAGGATTATTGTCGGTTAAAACTGTGAAATGTTTTCCACTCAGGTAATCTTTAAACTTGTCTGTGATGGCCCATTTCAATGCTAAGTATTCAAGTTTGAAAGCACTGTAGTTCTGTTCAGCCTTGGTACAAGCCCTGCTGGCATAAGCAATCACCCTCTTAACACCTTCTTGTTCCTGGTACAATATGGCTCCTAACGCTTTGGTCGATGCATCTGTGTGAACTTCAAAAGGCTTGCTGAAATCAGGATAGGCCAATATTGGTGGGGATGACAGTATCTTCTTGAGATTATCAAAGACTTGCTGTTCCACTTCAGTCCACTTCCATTCCACTTTCAATCGCTTATGTCCCTTCTTGGTGGATGTAGGCGGCAGCAATTCTGACAGAGGTCTAATTAACTTGCTAAAGTCACGGATGAATCTCCTATAATACCCAGCAAAGGCAAGAAATGATCGTAATTCATCGGAGTTGGATGGAATTGGCCAATTTTGTACCTTATTAATCTTTTCTGGATCCGTCTCGATACCAGCTCCACTGACGACATGTCCTAAAAAATTTACCTTGGGTTTAAAGAAGAAACACTTCTCTGGAGCCAACTTCAAATTACAGTCCTTCAAGCGCTTCATGATAATGTCCAATCGTTCGAGATGTTCCTCAAATGTTTCTGAAAATATTATTAAATCGTCCAAGTATATGAGACATATCCTAGTATTAAGACCTTGTAGACATTCCTCCATTAAACGCTGATAAGTAGCAGGGGCATTTGTCAACCCGAACGGCATACGGTTATACTCGAAAAAACCAATTGACCCAACTGTAAATCCTGTGCGTTCTTTATGAGACTCCTCAACCTCTACTTGATGGTACCCCGACTTCATGTCGATAGTTGTAAAATACTTTGCGCCATGTAGACAGTCGAAAATTTCCTCTATTCTTGGTAAGGCGTAGCTATCTTTCACAGAACGATCATTCAGCATTCGAAAATCAACACATAAACGCAACTTGCCATTTCGCTTTCTAACTAAAACCACATTAGACGTCCAAGGTGACTTTGATGGTCTAATTATACCTCCAGCCAAAAGTTGTTCTATGTGTTGGCGCACCTCTTCCAACATGTTCGGCGGTATTCTTCTATGTCGTTGTTTGAAAGGAATACTATTCAATAATTCAATGCGATGTTTTACTTTGTTGCATAATCCAATGTCAGTATCACTGGTAGAAAATATGTCCTTGTGCCTTGTAAGTAACTTCTTTAACTGCTTAATCTGGTCGTCATCAAGTATGTGGTTGTCGTCTATGTTCAATTCGTTAATAATGTCATCTGACTTTTGATCATCTTCTATCTTGTCAAAGACCTCTTCTGCCACAGTCACTGGTTGCAGTTCACAAATTACTGCCCTAGGAGGTATGGTCAAAGTATGTGTAGTCAAGTTTGACACATTAATCTTCATTTCTCCATTATTGTGATAACAATATTGAACTACAGCAGGATTGATGTCTATATTCGATGATATGGTACTAAGCGGAGTTTCCTGAAGAATAGCAGTTGTAGAAGGATAATCAATCTCCTTATCTGTATAACCTTTGACTTCTAAAGTCTCATTTGGTTTCAAAATAATCTTCTGTAATGCTGCACTCCTAACTATGGCCAATCTATTCTTGTTCCTCCTAAGTCCATTTTCTCTTATAACTATTGCCCTAAAACTCAAATACCATGGTGTAAACAAGTCCGCCTTCTGTAAAAATTGATCACCAAAGTTTTCTTTACATTCTTTAAGAAGTTCCTGTAGAATATTGGTTCCCAAAATTACTGGAGTTTTTGATGAATACTTGGTATCAGGTGTAACTAGAAGTAGGCATTGATGTGAATTTGATTTTGGTAATCCCTCTAGTACATCCAATTTAACTTCAACGTATCCCAAATATGGCAACCTGTTTCCATCTGCGCATTCAATATTGAGTATGTCATTTATAGGTTTAATTGATGTACCGGTTAAAAATTCCTGTTGAAAAGATTCTGATATTACACTTACGCAACTTCCTGTATCAAGCAAGGCTGTGACTGGAGTATCTTCAATACAGATTTTAACTTCGTTGGTTTCACCTACTAATTTTGGATCGTTATACTTACCTGTGCCAAAGTTCGATCCTGTAACAGAGGCACTTACACTTTTGGGCAATCTCGTTGTCGGTGGCCTTTCTCGTTACACTTGAAACAGGTGATGTCTTTCAATAAAGTTGGGCAATCTCTCCTTAAATGTCCTGGTTTCCTGCATACATAGCATTCCCCTGGATTACTAGTTCCTGTGTATGATCCTCCTGTGTATGATCCTCCTGTGTATGATCCTCTATATGCTCCAGTACCTCTATATGCTCCAGTACCTCTATATACTCCATTATATGTTCCACTTCCTCTACCAGCATATCCACGGCCTCTTGTCATCCCTCTTCCTCTATGATAACCTCGGCTGTTCATCCAATATCTCGGAACATTTGCACCTCCCACTGCTCCTTCCTCTTTCTGTTTCTCTAACAAGTCTATCCTATCATTCAACTTCTGCAGCAACTTCTTCACTTCTGTCATCTCATTGGACTCTGTATTCACCGCCACTTTACATGTCTTCTCCTTCATGTCCTTAGGGCTGCCACTATCCTTCAAGTCAGATTCAATCTTCCTCAATTCTCTTTTAAAGTCATTGAAGTCCTTAATCTTATCCATTTGGTATACTGTCATATGTTTAAGATCCTTTAAAAGTCCATTATGTAAAACTTCCTTCAAAATATCTGTATCTGTTCTTTTAAGTGATCCCAATTTCACGGCTTGATCAAAAAGCTCTTCTAACCGGGAAGCATACTGTTCAACAGATTCTCCTTGTTTTTGTTTACTTGAATAAAACTTCCTCATCACACTTTCTCTAGACTCGACTGTGCCATAATCATTTTCCAGTTTATCCATAACTTCTTCAAGTGTTGCATCTGGTCCGAGTCTCCTGACCTTATCACTGGCACTCCCTTTTAACGCCCGTCTTATTCCATGTAGTATCTGTTCCTGCTTAAATATACCATCAGAACGATACGCATCTACCTCATATTTAAAACTATCCCATGTTACTTCACCTTTCCCTTCTTCGCCAAAAAATATTGACAAACGTGGATATTGATACTTTCCTGACTTAGGTGCTGGCTCAGGATGTCCTGTTGCAGTAGCAGTATGCTCATCATCATCATCCTCTTTAATATCACCAAACAATTTCATAAATTTCATCAAATCAGTAGCTGATCCTAATTTGGGCTTAATTTTCAAAGTCCTTAAAGCTTCAATCAATTTAGCTTCATCTGCAGTTATTTCCTCTCCCAAATCTTTCTCCTCTTCCTCAGGTGAGTAGGGATCTTCCTCAATGCTACTTAATGTCGTCATAATGAAAACTATTCACTATTCAATTCACAATGTCTAATTGTTGCTTCACAAATATCAGTTATCAATAGTCAATCAGTGATTTACACTGTAATTCACTTTAATTCACAATAGTATTACTTTTCAATCAATACACTATATCATATGAACATTCTCAAAATAAAAAATCTCATATATACATAATATGGACACTATATTGTAGAACTATAGTCACAGATCATCAGTACTTTGAATTATCTAACCCATATCAAGACATAGTAAAACCATCAATCACTTAACGTTAAGCCGCAGTAGAACCATTATCATATATATCCAAGTTCAAACCTTAAAAGTAAATAGTCTTTAATTTACTTGTCTATACGGATGTTAAATTGTAAATTAATTAACGGTATGTTACTGTCACACTAAGTAAACAATCAAAAAGTAAAATTTAAAATGTAAAATCTTTAATGTCAATTGTACTAAATTGTAATTTAATCAATCAATGACAAATGAAAAGTTTCCAATATCAAATAAACTAATATCTAACTGTGTATTGCCTAAAAGAAAAAAATTTAATAATGTTTACATTAAAAAAATAAAGTATGTCAAAATTTCCTAATTTTTTTTTTTTTTTTTTTTAATGAAAATAAATAAAATGTCAATCAGAAATCAGGTCTAAACACTATATTTTCACACACAATCAATTAAATTATTATCGTTTGACCTTTAATGTTCGGGGTTAAGTATGGTTCAAGGTCAAATAAAGTTCAAGGTCAAATATGTTTCAATATAAAGTATGACAGGGAGGTGCAATTCAATAACCCAAAATAAATTTCAGCTTTGATGACAATATATTTTATCAAGAAAATATTATATTTATTTTACATCTATTTATTTAAATCACAATACAATAATCAATATCTCCACAAACTATGCAATCATCTTTCAAATAAATGTTTATCTATGATGCTCAACTATGACTGAAAACAGCTGTTTTAAATTGTTTATTTATTTCTTTATTTTTTTTTTAAATCACAAAGGCCTTCTGAACAATATGGACACTAAATAGTACTTTGCCACAATATCAATCTGTAATCATGACACAGTTTTAGTAGCCGCTGATAATTGTTACAAATTCCTCGTTACCTACCTTTCAGAAGAACAAGGTCACATGTTTTAGACGGAATCGAAAGTAACGAAACCGAAAGTAGAACCAAGTGCAACTAACTGCACATTTTTTTGGGCGCCAAATGTTACTCTTGGGCTTTTACATAAAGCATTATATATTAAATAAAAACCAAGATGTTGGGTTCACTTCTAAGTTCTCTTCTTTATTTACATATCTGTCACAAGCAATTACAAATGATGGTTGACAGCTACTTGCAGTTACAACAACAAGTGACCTGAAAATACATTTCATCAACCAATTACTATATAATTAAAATAATGAATTACAAATACATATTACATGAGCAACATTTTAACAAGATCATCATAGTATGAGTAATACAATTAATTCCTCAAATGCTAGTGGCCAAAATACATTAATACTTAACCTTTCATAAATGTCACAAATCCTAATACATATAAATCACATGTCAAACCTGTATTCAACATAAACATAGTACAAACATAACCACAACATGTACACTCACCAGTATATGGTACCAATCACATTACACTGCATCTGCATAAAACTCTCTCTCTCCAGTGTGTGCTGCTTAGTCTGTAAGTTAAAAATAAGTATTGTGCACAAAAGAAATATATGTGACAGTAGTAGTAATTATATACCAGATTATGCCATTTCAATTTCATGTACACAAAATATGCAATATTACATATACGTCTAAAATATCGCCGAAAACAAAGAAACGAATGTAATACTCATTTCAACAGAAGCTCATGTAATACAACAAATACTAAATATACATACCAAGATATATTTCCTTATAACAAGAAGACAAACTTTCAAAAGTTTACCAAGACACAATCTCAACTACAGATTACACAGAAAAACGTAGGCGGCACTGAAAACCCCGCGAATCAGCACGTGATACAAAGAAATTACTAACAACCAATCAAAACAGAGTATGCCAACAATAAAGTTCAAAGTGCATGGCAATGACTAAAACTCTTACAAAATACATTGAAATCACAGTCAAGACGGTCTGGTCACAGTGACATTACAGTAAAATGTCAATGGATCTTTGTTTTATAAGAATAATATCATTGTCTGTCGGTACACTGACCAGAATATGTTGCTTGAGGGTAACTGTTTACCATGTTGTCTGCCTGTACACTGACCAGAATATGTTGCTTGAGGGTAACTGTTTACCATGTTGTCTGCCTGTACACTGACCAGAATATGTTGCTTGAGGGTAACTGTTTACCATGTTGCCTGTCAGTACACTGAGTCAGAATATCAGTAGCTTGATGGTAACTGTTTACTGTGTTCCTTGCCAGTACACTGACCTCTGAATATCAGTAGCTTGAGGGTAACTGTTTACTGTGTTCCTTGCCAGTACACTTACCTCTGAATATCAGTAGCTTGATGGTAACTGTTTACTGTGTTCCTTGCCAGTACACTTACCTCTGAATATCAGTAGCTTGAGGGTAACTGTTTACCGTGTTTCCTGCAGGTACAGTCTGACCTCTGAATATCAGTAGCTTGAGGGTAACTGTTTATCATGTTGCCTGCCAGTACACTGACCTCTTAATATCAGTAGCTTGACGGTAACTGTTTACCATGTTGCCTGCAGGTACACTGACCTCTGAATATCAGTAGCTTGAAGATAACTATTTACTGTGTTCCCTGCCAGTACACTGACCATAATATGTAGCTTGAGGGTAACTGTTTACCGTGTTGCCTGCTAGTAAACTGACCAGAATATCTAGCTTGAGGATAACTGTTTACTGTGTTGCCTGCCAGTACACTGACCATAATACGTAGCTTGAGGGTAACTGTTTACCGTGTTGCCTGCTAGTAAACTGACCAGAATATCTAGCTTGAGGGTAACTGTTTACTGTGTTGCCTGCCAGTACATTGACCAGAATACGTAGCTTGAGGGTAACTGTTTACCGTGTTGCCTGCTAGTAAACTGACCAGAATATCTAGCTTGAGGGTAACTGTTAACCGTGTTGCCTGCTAGTAAACTGACCAGAATATGTAGCTTGAGGGTAACTGTTTACCAGTGTAAGGAGGTTCTGCTGAGTTTCTGCTAGGTACAGGAGAGTTAGGCATTTTTGTCAATGACACAATTGGTGTTTTATTTCCTTTCTTGTATATCATATATAAATCATATTTCGGAATTACGGCCAAATGATGTCATCCTAAGCATGCAATTCTCTTATAATAATTGCACATGAATGACCTTATTTAAAGTACATAAATTGTCTCAGAATGGGGAATATAAGATGAGTTTTCCTAGTACAAACAGTCTAACAGTACAAAATACTGTCTGTTGTGTGACATTATGTTGACATATATTAAACTGTCTAAGTTATTGTTTCTCATGTATTTATTTCTGTTACAGCAAATATTAGATATTGCATTTTTAATGTTTTTAAAAAAGCTATTTTATAACCAGGAACATTTGTTACCATATCACAAAATTTAATACAAGGTTACTGTGACCTAAGATTATATTGATTTTATTGTTTTGTTTTATTTTCAGGCGATGTAGAATTGACAGACTTGCAGCTGAGACCTGAAGCTTTAGTAAGTGAATTATTCAAATTTGCAGTGAGACTTGGTCATGATACATAACTGTGGCAGTTTACTTGCTTAATAAGATACATTTAACTGTGGCAGTTTACTTGCTTAATAAACAATTGGTCTGATATATAAACTAGGCAAACAATTTGTCTGATATATAAACTAGGTGAGCAATTGGTCTGATATATAAACTAGGTGAGCAATTGGTCTGATATATAAACTAGGTGAGCAATTGGTCTGATATATAAACTAGGTGAGCAATTGGTCTGATATATAAACTAGGTGAGCAATTGGTCTGATATATAAACTAGGTGAGCAATTGGTCTGATATATAAACTAGGTATTGGTCTGATATATAAACTAGGTGAGCAATTGGTCTGATATATAAACTAGGTGAGCAATTGGTCTGATATATATACTAGGTGAGCAATTGGTCTGATATATTAACTAGGTGAGCAATTGGTCTGATATATAAACTAGGTGAGCAATTGGTCTGATATATAAACTAGGTGAGCAATTGGTTTGATATATAAACTAGGTGAGCAATTGGTCTGATATATTAACTAGGTGAGCAATTGGTCTGATATATAAACTAGGTGAGCAATTGGTCTGATATATAAACTAGGTGAGCAATTGGTCTGATAAATAAACTAGGCGAGCAAGAAAAAATGATAAAAAAACTCTTTCATATTATTTCAAAGATTTGTAAATTTTAGGCAAGAACTTTGTAATCTATTTTGTATGTTGTGGTTATAGGTTATTGACAGAATATCAATTGGGTTCTAATATCTTGTACAAGTTTTAGCCCAAGAAAAGTTCAGTCCCATGTTTATAGATGCCCTAATGCGTGCAAAATCTGCTTCAGCACCTTATAATTTATACTTTAAATAGTCATTGTGATAGATATACACTACCATATATTAATTTTGTTCATTTCATTAGAAGCAACCAACATTGATTCTTCAGTTGAAAAATTAAATTTTAGAACTCTTAATTGAACACATGTCAGTTTCAATAATATCAATATTAATTAATCAAAAGGAACACATTTCCACAATTTGTATGGAGAATAATTGATAAAGATGAACTTTTGAAGCCATAGGCATTCTGAGTGAGTCCTAGTGTTTTAATATTGCAGAAGGTAGTGTAATTCTGTATTATGCCATATTAGAGGTGGTAAAGT